GTGTGTGTGTGTGTGTGTGTGTGTGTGTGTGTGTGTGTGTTTTGCACCATGTGCATGTGCATGTGTGTGCATGTATGTGTGTGCATGTGTGTGTGTGTGTGTACCAACCTGCTAAGGTCAATCTTGTCTTCAGTGATAAGGTTTGCAAGACGAAGAGGCGTAGAGATCAGAATATCACAAGGGGTTGACTTGAAATCCATGCAGCGTGCAGTTGTCTTCGTCATGATGCGAACTCGGAACTTTCTCCCTCGGGTCAACTTTTTCACCTCTCTGTGTATCTGAAGAGCCAGTTCTCTGGTTGGGCTCAGGACAATTGCACGCAACTCGCCTGTGGGCACCTTCAAGGGCCAAGTCCCAAGCAACGGACGGAAATGTACACAACATCAGCAAATTTGCACAACCACTTTATGCATCAGCATATTGCCCATATCTGGAGAATCACCAGCCCTCATCACAATTTAGTAATTTACTCAAACAGTAAATCCAGAATAGGCAGAAAATGGAGCCACAATATATGCCATTACGTGATGTTGGATATTGAGGGGGGGGGGGGCTTTGAATTTTGAAAGAGTGTAAAAATTTGTAAAAAAAAACTTTCAAAAGAAGATTGACATTGCCTGCAGAACTCAGACACCTTCCCTTGGTGCAGCGCATGGAAGCCAACAGAACCAGTGTTTGAGAGTGCCAACACACACATGCAACATTAATCGAAAGATCATATGCTCAAATCCTAACGGAATCAGATGGATACAAAACACACACATGTAACTGTTAATCGACAGATCATATGCTCAAATCCTAACGGAATCAGATGGATACAATAAGGGTAGGGGCTACCTCTTAAAAAAGAGGAAGGGGGGAGGGGGGGAGGGGGGGAGGGCGAAGAAACTGTGTTTGACAACGCAAAGCAGTAGTAGCGTCTCGCCATTGGTGACACACTCTTGTTTTGCTCTTTTATTCTCTCTTTTAAAAGGGGTACGGGTAGGCTCTAACGCTTTTGTATCGATCTGATCTTGGAGGGGTTCGAGCTCATGATCTGTTTATCAGCAATTACATCTGTGTGTACCACTCAGCCACATGGGACGGGTATCAGTGGCAAATTCGTTTTCGAGGGAGTCACATTCCTTCATCGGTAATAACACTCGTGCTCTTTTGCTCCGCACCAGATGAGTATCCGCCTGTCCCCACAGCCTTTCCTCCCTCCTACCAAGGACCTCCCACTCTTCTCTGCACTGCACTGTGCCTCCTCCCTCTGGCTATGGTGTGCACACGTGCACACGCAGAGCACCTGTCTCAGGGCGCTCGCTGCACTGCTTCCTGCTGGCCAGACTCCAAGTACACACTGCGCAATGTGTTTTTGTGTCTGCCCCAGCCTGCTGCCCCCTTTGTTCTCCTGGACAGGATTTGCACTCCCTGGCCGGGTGCAACTGCAGGCTAGTGCTGTAGGCTCGACTACTGATAGGGAACTAGTGTAGGCAGTCAAATCATACTTTCATTACTTTCATAGCTAAGGGCTTACGGCTGCTACTCGCTTGCTGTATTCAATTGTCTTTGAGGCGCGAAGATGGCTTTCATTATATTATCCAGAGACTTCAGTGTTTGAGGCGCGAAGACGGCTTTCGTTATCAAGAAAGAAGACTTCAGTGTTCAGTGTGTGCTTGTATGGGTGAACTCTTGGCGTCGTCCGAATCTGCTTTAAGTTCGGTCAACCCATGCATGGTCTTCAACAAATTCTTGCCACTTCAATGAATTCGGCATGCTGGCTCCTTGCACTTAGTTAGAAAACAACAACAACAACAACAACAACAACAACAACAACAACAACAACAACAACAAAAACTAAAAAAAAAACAAAAGCAAAAAAAGAAGGCATTGACAATTCCCTCCACTTTAGTCTGTAATAGCTGCAAAGACATCAGAATGGTGCGGTGCCAGAACTGGCTCACCGTTCCAAGCTCCTAAATCTGTCTCTTGCCCCTCCACCTTCTCAATCGCTTAAATAATTTTTAAATTGCTTTCTGAAAAAAACCGGAAAACAATTATAATGAGACCTTGAGCAGCACAGCCCTTGCTTGAAAGTTGAATTTCAACAAGGTGACAGATCCCTTCGATAACGTGTACAATTGGTTGGGGGGGGTTGGGGGTGGGGGGGTGGGGGGGGAGGAGAGAAAACAAAAGACACCTGCAACTCCTCAACATAGTTCAGCACTGTGGAGAGAGCATTCACGTTTTTTATCCTTTTCCCCTCACCTTCAGACGCATGAGGATGGGCAACAGGAATGCGACAGTCTTCCCAGATCCGGTGGGAGCACATGCAAAGCACTCACGCCCCTGTTACAAGCAGACACTCGCAATCAAACCTCCTTACCACAGAGTTGGGAGAGAGGAGGAGGCTAAGACTTAAAACTTAAAAACTGCCTTTACAAAGTTTACACGCATTTATTTACATGGCTGCCATCTGTTTCTCTGGTGCCTTGTACTTAGTTTGAAAACACCAACAGCAACAACAAAAAAAAAAGGCATTGAGAATTGCATGAGACGGAGAAACACAGAGGAGGGTCGGGCCAATGAGAGAGATCTCCTTCCTTAACACAGTTGGGAAAGACGAGGAGGTTAAAACTTCAAAATTTAAAAGTTAAAACTGGTTAACTGCATTGGGACAAAGAGACAGATAAACACACATCCCATCCATGTAAATGCGAGTATAGTCATGTATCGCGATCATAGCATTTCATTTCCTCTATACTCGCAATACCGACGTCCAGGCAAGCGACTCGTTGGATTCATCAGTGTAGCGCGCGTGCGGCCCAGAAC